ATGGAAGTACAAACATTCACAGAATTACATGGATTCACCATCAGCCAGTTCCCTCAGGACCCTGACAGGCATTTCATCAGGTCCCATGGACTTGTGTATGTTCAATTTCCCCAGATGGTCTCAAACCTGATCTTCTCCTATGATGGGTGGGACTTCATTCCCCTAGTCCCTGCCTTGAGATTCAGGGACTTGTGAGATTTGGGAAGAGCAACGGTCAGTGAAAACTGAGCAGGGAAAAAGTCACTGAGTACTTCAACCTTCTCCATGTCAGTTGTCACCAGATTCCCTGTCTCATTTATTGGGGGTTACAATCTCTTTTGTTTTCCTTGCCTGACTAGCGTACCTATAGAAGCCCTTCTTATTATTCTCCACATCCCTTGCCAAATTTAACTCCAGTTGTGCCTTAGCTTTCCTGATCCCATCTCTACACTCCTGGGCATTATTCCTATATTCTTCTCAGGATGCATGTTCCTGCTTCCACGGCCTATGCATTTCCCTCTTGTGTTTCGGTATGACCAGGAGGTCCCTACTCAGTCATGCTGGTTTCCCACCTTCCTTGCCTGATTTCTTGAAAGTGGGAATCAATAGTTCCTGTGCTCTAAGAAAAATGTCTTTAAATAGCTGCCAGCTCAATGTACAAATGGAGATCAGTATCAAGTGGTGTCCCTCAGGGGTCCATACTGGGAATTGTACTGATCAATATCTTTTTTAACGACATAGATAGTTGGATGGAGTGCACCCTCAGCACGTTTGCAGATGACATCAAGCCAAGTGCTGCAGCTGATGGGCTACAGGGAGGGGATGCCATCCAGAGGGACCCTGACAGGCTGGAGGGGTGGGTCCATGTGAACCTCATGAAGTTCATCAAGGCCAAGTGCAAGGTCCTGCACCTGCGTCAGGGCAATCACCAGTACCAGTAGAGACTGGGAGATGAATTGATTGAGAGCAGCCCTATGGAGAAGGACTTGGGGATAATGGTAGATGAAAAATTAGACATGAAACAGCAGTGTGCACTCATAGCCCAGAAAGTCAACCGCACCCTGGGCTGAATCAAGATAAGTGTGTCCAGCAGGTCAAGGGAGGGGATTCTTCCTCTCTACTCTGCTCTTGTGAGACCCCACCTGGATCCATCTCTGAGGTCCACAGTGCAAGACAGACATGAACCTGTAATGACAGGTCCAGAGGAGGGCCATTAAAATTATCACAGGGCTGGAACATCTCTCCTATGAAGAAAAGATAAGAGAGTTGGGGTTGTTCAGCCTGGAGAAGAGAAGGCTCCAGGGAGACCTCATTGCAGCCTTTCAGTATTTAAAGGGGGCTTATAAAACAGATGGAGAGAGACTTTTTACCAGTGCCTGTAGTAGCAGGTTAAGGGGCAATGGTTTTAAACTGAAAGAGGGTAGGTTTAGACGGGACATAAAGACGACATTTTTTACAATGAAGGTGGTGAGACACTCACTGGAACAGGACTAGATGATCTTTGAAGGTCCTTTCCAACCCAAACTATTCTGTCATTCTATGCACCACACATTGAATGAGCTTTGCACTTTCTCTTTCAACTAATCTTATTGACCACTGTCCACACAGAATCAGATCAGCATACCAGCCAGCTCAGTTACTACATCATTCTCCCTATGATCTCAAAGAAGAAAAAACAAGAATAAAAAACCTTAAGTAACCTTGCAGTATGTCCCTTCTCTATCATGGAAATGGAAAGCCTAAAAAAAATTTTCCACAAGTAACATTTAAAAATCGTTCCTCACTGACCTAACAGCTGCAAACACAAATCTTGCTCTCCATCCAGACATCACCTTTTAACTGTAAATTATGCAGTTGCCATGAGTCATTCATATTTTTCCAGGGGGAAATGACTGGTTTAAATCTTAAAAAATAATGAATTTATAGGTTTTGAATGTTATGTCTTGCAATGAAGTCAAATTTCTTTCACATCATCAAAAGCACATTTGCAAACCAAAGGCCACGTGCTTATCAAAAGTTAAGTTTATACGATTTCCCACCCCAGTGCAACAGCTGTGCCTATAAATTTAAAAATATATGATTGGTAAATTGTATTTTCCTCTCTGCAGTTTAGGATCTCAAAAGGAGCTGAATTGCCTTTAAACAAATTATTTTTAAAACTCATTCACAGGCAGAGAATGCGTGCCAAATTTCAGGGTAAAAAGTGTTACATACAATGTTAATTAGACTCTGAAACTGACCTTCTTGGAGCAGGCAAATTCTCCAGTCTAGCTAAGGGCTTCATTTAAGCCAAGGTAATAGTTACATTCAAAGAGAAATGCTTCCATCCCTAGCTTTGGACAACTACCATAGACAAACACACAGACATCATCATTATGATAAGAGCTCAAAACAGTAAAGGCTGTTGGACTATCAAAGGCCATAAATGAAAGGACAGGAAGTTTGTCTTTCAAAGACTAGAACCAATGAATAGAGAGTTTTTAAATAAGTGGAAGGAAAATCAAAATATGGGGAACTCTTGTCCAGCATTGAGATGACAGTGCTATTATAAATATATCCAGGTACAAGAATGACCACACCCCTGTGACTTTTATGCTTGCTCAGTGAATGTCAGAAACATTTGACAAGGGCATCTCAGGCTGTCAATGCACAAAAATCAGGCGTACTTCACTCGATGACCTCTGAGTTACATTTCCTGAACAAGACCCACTAGTTTCTACATTATGAAAGCATTATAGAGAACACAGCAGTAACTGTGAGCTAGAAGAAAAAGCGTGCAAGTTGTAGTTATTTGCTTGTTTCTATGCATTTATGACACTTCTGTATAAATGAAAAACCTGGATAACTCCCATGGTATAATACCAGAACTCTTTAATCCTTTACATTTTAAATTATGAACCATTCAGTTCCTTCAACTGTACCTTTATAGAAAAGCTAAGTTCCTGGAATGCTATTCAATTTAAGGGGAGACAAGCAAATTCCAGGTGTTAGCCCAGGCACTCTCTTCGGAAACCACTGTAGCAATACCACAGTAGAAGTGAGTTTATCACTGGAGTGAGCTCTAAGTTATTAAGAGTACCAAAGGTTAAAGCTAACACCTTGCCTTTCATCAAAAAGCTAAAGGAGTTTTAATACATAAGCTCCTCTGATTCCAGCGAGGGTTGTGGACTCTGCAGGAATATACATTATAAGGTATATTCTGCATTAACTTTAACATCAATGGGTTCTTAACAGGTTAGTCAGCATAGAGAACATGGCACGTGATAGTTACAGGAACAAAAAGAAATGGAGCGGGATGTCAGAACTGAAAAGGAAATAAACTTTCCTAGATGTCAACTAAAAAAAGCCTTTTGCCACATTTGCTGCCTGGCACTCAGTGGTCATCTTGAACCCAACACCATCCATAAGTGCCAACACAAGTGAAAAAAACACAAAAGCGTTTCCTGCTTAGGAGGTTATTATTCTCATTATCTTTACTTCCAGTTTCTTTTGCCAAGCATCTGCAGTCACCCCCTTTCTGTCTGGTCTCTCCCTCTGCCAAATAGCTCTCATCCGTACTTCAGTTTTCTATCATTTGGAACCTGATGAGAAGAACTACCAAACTGCCTTTCTAAAAGACATATCCTTACTCAGCAACAGCTGCAAGCAGGATATAGGTACACATTACATTTAGGAACATGCCAAAGCGAATGGTCCTACAGTTCTCCCTCGACCCAGAATCCAAGAGAACATTCAACTGAACAGAAAAGGGCAGAATAGTGACAGAAAACTTAATCACATAAAAGTCAATCGCAGAAAACTGGAACTCCTTCCAATGAAGATAACAGCATTGAAACAGCAGACTTCTAAGAATTTGGGAGATTTCTAACACTGTTTACTCCAAACTGCTGACTCCATAATTAGATGACCACAAAAACTTAAAAGGTATGTGGAAGAAAAAAAATGATTCAGCATTTGCTTCATTTTCCTGTTCCTTTACCATATATCCATTACTAGTCAGAGACAGGATACTTCGGTCTGACTCAGCACAACACAGTTCTTAAATTCATTTAAGTTATGATTGGTAGACTAGTACTGGTATCTCTATAACAGACTTTCCCTAGCTCAGGCAGAATCGAAAAGCCAGAGGTAGCAGGCACCGGGCAAAGTTTGTAACTGTGCTGCAGCAGGCAGCAAGCACTGTGGTTGTTAAAGAGCCAAATCAGATGCCAATAACAAGCCTAACGTGTCTTAAAGTAATAAAATAAAATGTTATAACCTAGGCTACTTATTTCCAATGCAAAATAGAATGCATTTTTCTACCAGACAACTTTTGCTACCAGTGAAGTGACCTATGCAGGCTGTAAAAAGGCATGATCCAGTTACAGGGAAAACAAAGTCCCTTACAGGCCTACTGTGTCCTGACAGGGGGAAAAGGGGAAAAAAACCACAGATGGATACAGGTGGATGTTCACCAGTGGAAACAACAAGAAGAATGGCACTAATGGTAGAAAATAAAGTACCTTATCATGGAGATGACCAACACATATCCAACAACAGCAGGTACTGGAGAAGTCTACCAGCTGGGAAGAGCTAATCACGCTAATTTAAGCCTGCTGTGAGAAGCATGATAACCCTACAAATCAATAACCATCTGACAAGGTCTAATTATGTTTACTTGTAGCTAATGGAGTAATGAATTACCAAAAAGAATACCTGCTGCTGCTACTACTACTCTTCGTTCTTTCCTCTGTTAGGCCTAAATCTTAGCAACTGCGTTCTCTAACGTTACTCGCTTTGAGCCAGTCCACTCTGCCTAATCAGCACCTTCTCTGTCAGCACTAGCAGAAACTATCACAGAAGTAGTTGGCTAGTAAAAGGACCTGCTTAGGTCAATAGCAGCAAGCAGGTGGTTCAGGCTTTATTTCACAAAATAGCATTTTCCGTATGTCCAAAGGCAAACATTTTCCAGTCACAATACAAAGCAGAGACACATTCTTCCCACTCAAGAACAGGTCATTTTTCAAAGGACTAAAACCTACCTGTACCAGACAAGGTAGCTGATGAACGCCCGGAGTCACATGTGTATAGACCAAGAGGAAGCAGGAAACTTATCCAACAGGAAGGGGCAGGAGACCAGATATTATGTCATGGTGAATTAGCAGCAGATACTCTCATTGACCTGAAGCAGGAACAGCTTTAAAACAGCAGACTGAGGATGCATCTGGGTCCAGCTCTGAAAAGAGAAAGTACATACCGAGTGAGAGGGAAGTACTATACAATATAAATAAAATTTCCTACAACAGCACCGACCCATGTGACACTTCATAAGCAGTAAAACTGGGAGAGGGAAAAAAAAAAAAAAAAAAAAAAAAGAGGGAAAAGGCAAGAAAGAAGATGCGACTGACATAGTGATTAGGGACTTCTCTGCAGACAACTGCACACAGAGGCATGTCTATGTTGCCAAGTCACTAGGCCATCCTTGCAGGCTATTCAACTTACAAACAGGAGCCACTTGCATTTGGGGAAATTGGAAAAAACATGAAGAAGGTACACCACTTGCCTATAACCTGTCAACATATTGAGGCATGCTCTAATAAGAACTGTAGGGTGGTTAAGATTGGAAGGGATCCCTGGAATTTGCCTGGCCTAACCAAGGAGCAAGGGTATCTTCTTACATAGACAGTCTCAGTTATGCTTATGCCCTCAGACGTCTTTGGTAACCGTTGGGAAAGGAGGCCAGTTCAGGAACTTTAGCCAAGTCAGCTTGTTTTCATTCTTAAAAAATCAAATCCTTAAAGGCTATCGGAACACTCCAGCATTTCAGCAGGCAATGTTAGCTGCAGACTGGGAGAACTAATGATCCCATGGATTTAGGGTATCATCAGGCAGCTCCAGTGTCTGCATATTCATGATAGGTCCCAGAGAAAATAATCCAGGGTAAGAAGGATGAGGGAGCTGCTCCTTGGGAAGAACTGAGCCAGCTGCACCTGTGTATACAAAGCACTGCTTCTGACAGCTTCCTACTGTAGTTGATGAAGAAAAGAAGCATTACAGCAGAACAGATGCGAACACCAGCATTCACAGCATTCACAAGTATAAGCTCATACCTAGTCATGCAGTTAGAAGCAACTGCTCAAAGAATGGATAGGCAAGAAAGGGAAATATGAGCATCGCAGTACCAGCCTAGGCAGTTTACACAAGCGTAAACTCCATCAGGGACAGTAAAAAGGCTCTAGGTCCAGCAGGGAGTAAACAAGGAAAGAACAAAGGGCAGAACGAACATCATGGTGAACTGTGCTAAACCAGAGCTGAAGTCACAGAAGGATGGAGTCCAGGAAAGCAGTGGTTGAGGCAGAACACCGCACTGGAGGTAGTGCAAGTGAGAAGGGCTGGGCCAAGAGGGCGCATGAGGTACAGAGGGGAACATCACTGCAGCACTGCAGAAAAGGAGGCAACCACAGGCTGACAGTGTTGTGAATCTCACACCCCTGCCTTTGGGGCAAGGCCAGGCTGGGAGTTTCTTCCTCACATACAGAGGGGAGGGGATTCTGCTATGGAAGATGGGCTCATTTCTCATGGCAGTGTCCCCCTGGTAAACAGTAGGTTGTTAACTGATCCTGAGGCAGCACCAAGGAAGCGGTTATTCTCAGAAGCTGCAGGAATCCCCTGGATGGGCAGTAGTATGAAGCCAGTCTCTCCAAGAAGGGCAGTGCTGACAGCACTAGGCAAGGATACAGCACAAACACACCCGTACGCCATACTAACTGGTAAATGACCTTGCTTACTCCTCAGGCCCCCACTTAATTTCTACCTCAGTCTTGCCCAGAAGCAACTTGCACACAGGGTCCCTCCACAGGCCACGCTGATAGAGGAAACGGAGAATTGTTCAGGCCCCAGGGAGCAGGAGGGAAGGAGGAAGCGGCAATCTCCAGCAGCAAGCTCGTGGCACCAAAGTGAGACGGTTTGCCTCTGTGGGAAGTCAAGATCTTCTGGAAGGCCATGCAGAGCATCAGTCTCCTACTGATACAGATCAGTGTGTCCTGAGATTGTATCTTGGACTACGTATCTCCCTCTGAAAACAGACCTGTGGGGCACTTAGAGGCAGCAAGACAAATGCTCTCTCTCAAAAGGTGCTATCTCCTGCATGAAAGTTGGCTGTTCCTGAAGCACTAGAGACGACTGTCAGTCACAGGACAGCACAGGGATGTGGAGTGTCTCCAGGGACAGGGTATTAAGAAGATAACCCTCCTCTCCAGAGGGCCATGCCAGGGCAGGCTGGGCGATTCCAAACGGGTGCTGGTGTGTCCCCCGGGAAGCCCAGTCCCTGCTGCGGGAAAAGCCTCCCGAGCGGGCTTGCAGTCCACATTTGAGGGTGGTAAATGAGTAACGGGCTTTCCCCCTCTGCCTGTCTCTCCAAGCCAGCTGGGTCCCTGCGAGGCAGCAAAGCCACCACGGCTCGGCCGAGGATACGGGGGAACGCGCTAGAACAACCGGCGGGGCCCGGGTGAGCGGCTGTACCGGCGCAACGCCGAGTCCGAAGGGAAGAACGGCGAGAGCGGCGCGCCGGTCGTCAGGCTGTTCCAGCCCCCGGCTCCGCACGGCAGCCGTGCGGCGACCACCGAGCGCCGCGGGAAGGGGCGCCGCCGGCCGGCGTACCGGCGGCGCGGGGTCTGCTACCCGGACCCCGCCGGTCTCCCGGTCGGGCGTACCCTGCAGGCAGCGCCGGGGCGGGAGCAGCGCCAGTGCCCGGGGTCCGCGCCTGGCCCGGGGGTTGCCGCTGGCGCGGGGCAGTGCCCGGGCGGAGGCGTCCCGCGGGTGGCCGGGACAGAGCCACGGCAAGCGCTGCCGCGTGGCCGAGCCGGACGGAAGCCCGGGGCGGGGGGGGGCGGCGGGACCCGGGGCAAGGCTCACCGTCCCGTCCATGCTCCTCCCCGCCGCGCCGCTCTCCCGCTCGCGCCGGGGCCGCCGTCCCCGCGCCGGGCGCGGGGCGCCTGCGCGGCGCTGCAGAGAGCGGCGCAGGGACCGTCTGCAAAGTGCGCGCCGCTCGCCGCCCGCGCAGCAGCCGGCAGCGCGGTGCCGGGACGGGCCGCCCGCAGCGCCCTCGCCGCTGGCGGGGACGGCTCCGGCGCGAGAGCGGCCGCCCCTCCGGCCTGACCGCTCTCCGGCCTCCCGCGCTTTAGCGCCGCGTCCACGACGGGCGGACGGCGCAGCCTCGGCCCCTGCGCCCGCTTCCCAGCTCTGCGGGGGCGGTGCGGCGCGGAGCTCCTCCCGTGGACGGGCGGGGGCAGCGCCCGTCCCCTTCCAGCCCCTCGGGCGCCCCCGGCCCTGTCGCCGCCGGAGGGCCCTCGCCCATCGGCCGTGTGCGCGGCAGCCCCGGGAGAGGGGCGGGCGAGCTGCGCGGCCGCCGCCGCAGCGTCGCGGCCGCAGTCCGTTCGCCCTGCCGCGGCCCGCAGCCCCCTGCCGACATCGAGTCCCGGTGCCACAGCGCCTCCCCCCGCCGCCGCAGCCCCCTCTTCACCCGCCGCAGGGCGCCAACTCACCGGAGAGCCCCCAGCGCCCCTTACCACCGCGGCCCCCCCCCGCGCCCCTTTGCTGCCACAGCCGCCCTCCCGCGCCGCCACGGCGCCTCCGGCCGCTGCCGTCCGGCCCGGCAAAGCGGCGGGACCGGCCCCGGCCCCCTGCGCCGCTCCGTTTCCCCCCCGGCCCTCAGGCGGGTCGAGCTCCGCCACGGCGCCCACGCCCCGGGCCGCCGTCGGGCCGCAGCGACTGCCCGTGGCCCCGGCCCATCTGGCGGCGGCGCCAGCAGCGGCCCGCCCCGCGGACCCACCGGGCGGCGGGGCTGGCGCCGGTGGCGGCGGGAGGGCGCGTGGCGCCCCCGGTGCCGGGCCGGGGAGAGCCCCAGGGACCGTTCGGGGAGCGCGGCCGCCCGGTGCCGGGCGGGCGGCGCAGGCAGGCGCTGCGGCGGGGCTGTCCGGGGACGACGGTTCGCCGAGGGTCGACGAGAATGTCGGCGGTGATGTGAACAACAGCAACGTGTATATCGGGAGTGGACGTGGGGGGAAGGAGCTTGGAAGCACGTCTGGTATTTCAAATTCAAAACTAATCTGTACCGAGAGTTACTGTCCTGTATTTTTATACCCTTTGTTGGACAGCCTTCTCTTAAGGAGCTAGTAACTCCTGGGGGGACGAGGATACTGCGTTTGGCGGACCATGGGTCTGCTGTACTGTGCCAATTATAATGGGAAAAGAAAAACTATTTCCAGTGCAAGACATACACTTCTGTGATGTCCACTTTCAAAAAATGATTTGAAGAAGCACTGAAGAGAGTTGGTCTTAAGTTAAAGAAGCACTGCAAACAATGAGAGATGAGAAGGGGGGTTTGTATAGGATGAGCGCTGAAAGTGAACAATTGTGTGTGATGCTCCAAGGAGCTGTGGGAAAGGGGTGAAAGGAAACAACCCCGTTTAAAAGGAAAACCAGATGAGCAGAAGCCAAGCAAGTCTGCCAACTCCAAGTGTTCAGAAAGGTTGTAAGTCTAAAAGCTGAAATAAAGTGTTGTAAAGATTATCATGTGTATTTACGTCTCACTGGGTATTTTTAGATGGGGGCTACATATTTATGTGCCATCAGCTTTTTCAGTCTGCATTTTTCATGTGTCACATTTTCAAGCTTTTTGCTACAGCTATTTACACTAGAAAAACACTGTTGTAAATGAAAAAATGAGTTTTTGTGTTATCTGTAATCCAGAAACTGCCACCTTTGAGCATCCTGGAAGAAATGGTTCAGTGTGCATGTTGAGAGGATAATTTAAGTGCTAGGTACATCCAGGAAGGACAATCTGGAAAAGGAATGCAAGAGAGCATGACTATCTTGGCTAAGGTACATGACTCACGAAGGGCAAGCCCTGAGAGAGCTTGCAAGAAAGCACCTTGTGATTTAGGCTAGAACTCCTGGCAGGAGAGCAAACTAGCAGCCTGCACAAGTTTGGCAGTACTGTAAAATATGTTTCGTGATGGATGTGTGACAAGGTAATGCTTAAGGCCAAATAGAAGAGAGAAAGTTCCTCAGAAAAGAAGTCATCATGCTGAAGTTAAGAGTGGAGGAGTCTGCTGAGCAAGAATACCTTGCTTTTGCTGGGGAAATGTGCACCTGTTGACGAGATTATATCATCCTCTGTATCTGGTCATCTGCTCTGACCAACAGCAACTCCAAAACTTCTCTATGGAACAGACTAGACCATCTGCAAGTGGTTAGCTTGCACTCTCCAGAGTGAGAGCGATTGACTGTGAACCACTTTGGAATGAGAAAATCCAGCACCCTGTCAGCTGTGACCGAGATGAGTGCAGTCATCCTAGGGACTGCACAGACACAACCGCTTAGCACTGCCAAGGGAGGAGAGGCGGAAACCACCCCATACACATTGCCCAGATGAGATAGGCTGCACATCCCCCCTCGCATGGGAGAGTCACATCATTTATATTCCAGTCTTGAAGACTGATGGACACCATGACCAGATACAATATCTGAGTTCACAACATCTGTATTTTTTTTTTAAGTATACCTTTTAGTTAGGAATAGAGCAGCAGCTCCGTCATAGGTAAGAAGATGATGAGTTTATTTTCACCCGTTTCTTGAAGTTAGAAATGCAGCTGGGACAAAAGCTTCTTACATTTGTAACATATACTGTACATTTTTCTCTGGGATCAGCAAAGACTGTTCCAACAGGATAAGTAAGCCTGCCTAGGACATCCAACAGAGCAAGTTACCCATACCACAACTGAAGACATGGAAGAAAAATATCCAAAGACATGGAGCCCAAAGAAAGCGAAGTACACACAAAAGTATACTTTCCTGGAGCATGACAGGGGAAGCACAGCTGAAGGCATGACAGACACCTAATGAGGGTATGCATTTTCTCATTTTACAAGGTCAAAGATGGCAATCATGGTAATTTGTCTTTCTGGAAAATCCATGACCCCATATTGTTGTCTGTAAATTCTGTATCATGATCCTCATGCAGTTTATATTTCTGGATGAACTAAAGTATGTATTTGAAAAAGATCTAGTCCTTTTTTTGCAGATAATTACACAAAAATGGTGGTACAGAGTCAAATCGTAAGTACACCTGACTCATTTACCCTGTTCCTGACAGGCCAACACAGAATGCCTAGAAAAGATCATAAAAGTAGGGTAGACATACAACGATACCTCCCCAAATGCTCTCCTAGCTCACAGTGATTTGCGATTCAGAGACCTGCTGTGACAGAACTATTGGCTTTGTGTTTAATAGCCTTTGATGGATTTCTCTTTTGCAACTTTCATCCACTATATATTCACAGTCATGAAATTGAAGGCCATGAAGGACTATTAATTCTGCCCACTTACATATGACAAGTAATTTCATATAGGCCTCCAATGATCTGTTACACAAACCAGGTCAATTGTAACATGCTGGAGAAGCTACCACTCTGTAACATCGTTAGCCAATCACTTTCATCACTAAAAGCATGCGCCTATTTTCAGTTGGAATTATCTGTTGCAGTTTAAAGCTGCTAGTTTTGGTGTTGTTGTTGTTGTGCCTTAACCCCTAGACAATTAAAAACCTCTTTAGCATCCAGCATTTTTGCTCAGTAAATGTACTTACACATTCTAATGAGATCACTTCACAACCTTCTAAGTAATTAGAATTCATAGATTCATAGAATGGTTTGGGTTGGAAGGGACCTTTAAAGATCAGCTAGTCCAACCCCCCTGACAAGAGCAGAGACATTTTCAACTAGATCAGGTTGCTCAGGGCCCCGTCCAACCTGACCTTGAACGTTTTCAGGGATGGGGCATCTACCACCTCTCTGGGAAACCTGTTCCAGTGTTTCACCACCCTCATTGTAAGAAATTTCTTCCTTATATCTAGTTTAAATTTTCCCTCTTTTAGTTTAAAACCACTAAAAGCAGCTTAAAGCCATTACATCTTGCCTTATCACTACAGGAGTTCTGCATTTCTCATTGTAAAATATTTTTTCCAGTTTTCAGATAAATTTTGTGAACCTCTTGTACATTCTCTTTTTTTTCTCTCTGTTCCCTTCAAGACTTAAAAAAAAAAAAAAAAAAAAAAAGGGCTATGCCATCAGGGGCCTTATTGCTGTCTCTCACATCAACAGCATGTTTCCCCCAGATTACCTACCTGTATAGATCTGTTATATTATGTCTTATTCTTCAACTGTAAAATTTACAGGGCTGGGATAGCTCTGTGTTTTAGTGTCTAAAATAGTGGGTCCTAGTCAAACTGCTTGTGCGCTAATACAGCCAATTTCTTTCCAGACTTACCTTTTTTAATTATTATTATTTTGACACAGTCTTCTTTGGAGGAGTGACATGCCTTCATTTTCCCCAAGCACATAAGTTTGAACTTGACTGCTTTAAGACAGAAGCTATTTGAGCAGCCTTACTCTGCTACACTCTTCTCCACTGTTACCCTATCTTTATGACTGTTTTTTGCAGTACTCATTTTTTACATCATCTGCAGATTTTATCTGTAGAGATCTTACATTTTCTTTCAAATCACCAATTAAGTGTCAAACAGCACTGGCTGGAGAACTGTCCCCCCTAGGACCTAAGTGGAAGTGCCAAAATCCAACAGCTGGCTCTTATTTGATATGCTAACCAGTTCTTAACTCACACGATTTGTTTGCTGCTGTATAACTTTCTGTTTAATAGTTAAAGCATTGCATTAAATCAAATGGATTGTCAGGCCTGTAATGGCTATCTGATCACCTTTAACTCAACATGTAACTTCAAAGGCTTATGTCATTTGCCAAGTCTCGCTTGCTGTACAACCACCTTGACTAGTATTAGTTATATAGTAATGCCAACTACACCAAATTCCTTATCAATTAGCATTTCTGGTTTCAATTGCTTATAGTGTAGTGTTAGGCGTCTGTAAAGAGCAATTAACATTTTTCTTGTTTGGTGTAACACTGGATCAATTTGTTGAACATTTAATTTGGTTTTTTTCTTTCCTCTTTACAGTGCTTGACTTATTGTATTTTTAGTTTACTATCCCCAGCCTATTCCAGCTAGAGCATAACTGTGAAAGTTAACCTGCCTGCCTGTAAGATGCAAGTTGTTCCTTTCATATAACCTGTTCTCACCTTGGAATGCAGAGTTTTGATCAGTAAACCAGCATCTTCAGTTTATGTACTCAGCAGTTTTCTGGCAGTATTTCTTGCCTTTCCTTTCCCACAGAGCTGTGTTTATAAAAAAAGAAAAAAAATCAGTTTCCAGCTTTCCTCAGTTTTCTCCCAAGATACCAGATGCTCCTAAGAGTTTCAGGTGTGGTATTGCATCGTCTTATATGCACTGACGTGGGCAGTGACTTACCAATGATCCATTCCAACTTTTTGGCTAACGTCTTTGTTTTGTTTAAATGACGGTCCATCAAATCTCGCTATCCTGTTTCCCATGATTGTCTTTCTTCTCTAACGAAGACTCACTAATAATTCTATAGGACAAACGTCCTATGTCA